AATGGAAGAAGTCGGACAATAACCACGCCCACCTCCCATACAAAGGTTATGTTGAAAATCACTAAAAGTGCGTTAACCGACTAACAAAAAACGTCGGAAACACTAAATTTTACRGAAGAAATGTCAGAAGGAAGCTGCATCCAGGTTTTTTTTTTTAAATGGAAAATGGGCATGGCGTCGCCCACTTATACACCAAAAACCATATCTCAGGAAGTACTCAACCGATTTCAATGAAATTCGGTATATAATACTTTCTTAACAACGTGATGACATGTACCGAACATGGGTGAAATCGGTTCACAACTACGCCTGAAATTTCGATTATCACTTTATCATGCGAGAGTATAAAATGTTTGGTGACACCCGAACTCAGCCCTTCCTTACTTGTTTGAAATATCTTTTCTAATGCAGGAAGTATTTTTTGAAAGGTTATGAAAGGTGTCAGCCTTCAAGATGATCCTTGATACGAAATATGTTTATGGATTTTTGATAGAACTGCATTTTGATTCATCACTTTGAATGGCAGCTAGAGCTATAGGGATGTGCGTGATGTTAACACTACATGTACAGTAAAGTAAGAAATGATAAACCGCAATGTACTCACAAGTCTGTTTGACACCTACAACATTTTATAGAAGTTTATTATGTCACAAATTTAAAAAATGTGTATGCATGTTTAGTACGGACGGACGAACATACGGAAATAAAATTGAATTTTTTTTAAATGTTAAAACACTTACTGTGAATTATCTTCATGTTTAATGTATTCTCTTTAATTGATTGATCTGTCCACACTGATTACATTTTGTTGTGTGCCATAAAGACGACATCTACTTTCTGACAAGTTGATTTAAAGTTATGCGTATGCACAGTAAAAGGTAAAAAAACGGCAAAACACGCGAAGATGGCTGTAATGCAGTCTTGTTGCTTTTGGAAGACGGTGCGTACCGGCAGCATGGCAAGCGCCACATACACTTTGGTAAGTACTTACCATGTACTTAAGTAATTATGTGGATTGTTTACTTATACATACATACACATATATATATATATATATATATAGGGGTATACGAATATTTGTGTGGTAAGAATGACAAGCGAGTAACATAACTTTCATTTTTAAGTATGTGCACGATGAGGTATAAATATTTTTATGGCTAGAGCTTCCTTCGAAGAGCGCCTTAAAGTACGATTTTGCATATCGTATAGTTCATAGTATTTCAAAGAATATGAAAGTAAAAAAAAAAGAATAGTAGTTGACAATGTTCCAAACGAGCCATTCTTATCAACACTACATTTATTTATAAATAGTTATTATCGCAACTTAATTTTCCCTATATAGAAAAAATTACAAGACTTTCTCAAGAAACCTGCAACAAACAGTTGATTTGAATTATAGAAAGCGAGAATCACAGAATTATGCTGAAACAACCCCAACAATAGTTGCCTCTAAAGCTATGGCAACATTTACAAAAATACAGTTCACAGAAACGTTGTGCATCTTGCCATTTAGATCACCATCACTTTCTTTGAAAAAAAAAAACATTTTTTATTTAATGTGAAGTGCAATCGATACAATTGAGTTATGAATATATAGCACCATTCAAAAGCCTCAACGACTTCTCTTGCATGATTCTATGAACCTAATTTTCGTATACTTTTTGTACTAAATCAAGTCGTATGTCTATGTATTGCTATAGACCAATGATTTCAAATAACCCTACAAAAGGTAGTAGAAGGGTGTTCAATACAAATATCTTTGAAGCACAATTTCGTGATTATGTAATATTATGTAGAGAAAGTCAACGCTCGAAGTTTTTTACCAATTCGGCGAACACTGTGCGAAGTGGTCGGCCATAAAATGGCAAAGACGTACGAAAAGTTGCATTTGGAGAACGATATTTATCCAAATATAGTAAAATTGATTAATTTTTAAATATATTTCCATTATGAAATAATGAACATTGCTGAATACAATTAAATAAATTACAGTTCATCACATATTGAAAATGGTCGAAACGACACTTAGAAATCATAACATCCCTATTCGAAAACGCGGTATATATGTATGTGTAGGTTGCATGTTTTGTTTAACTGTCATTGATTATTGTTTTCAAGAATTATTCAGAAAATTACTAGCAAATAATTGTCTACGGGAAAATTTACTTTATATACTTTTTATATGAAGTTGGATTTTATATTTAAAATTTTTATGAGGAGGAAAAAATTTTCGACATACATATGACTTGATATTGCTTACAAGCTGAAATAAATAAATAAATATATTCGCTTGTGAGATTTTTGTGGCTACCCAATGCGAAATTGTAACTCAAATTTCTGTAAACGCTGACGGAATATTTTGTTCTAATGAGACATCTAGACATATGTAGAATTGGAGGTAACAATTTGAAGTTCTCACTTTAAAGATGGTTTAATTCGTGTATTTTTGCCTAATATTATAACCGAATAAGAGCTTTGAAGACTGGGCCCACACGTACATATGTCTGGAGATAACTCCCACCAAGGGTTAGCAGTAGTGGCCACGGTTGTTATAGTGAAACTAAAACTCTAATGTATATCTACGTACTGAGTGCTACAAGAGATCACTTATTTGAAAATTGCCATAACAAGTCACTTTTTTTTCATCATTTACATTTACACATATGAAATTTGGTAAACTTTACCATCTAGTTGGCAGGAATCCAAGCTTTCAATAAAAAACAAACTGTTATTGTATGATCAAGTCCTAAAGCCAGTTTGGGCATACGGAGCCCAATTATGGGGTTGCTCAAGTAAAAGCTAATGGACTTTAGTTAATGCTCCTTGGTACATTAGATCTGCTGAACTGTACCGTGATGTAGGCGTGAATTCAGTGGTAAATGAAATGTCCAAATTAGCAAAGTCTCACGAACAGCACGTTATTGAGGAAGTATCCGGACTCATCGAAACTGCTGGGCGAGAATCCGGTTGAAACGCAAGAAGCCTTCCGACCTAGTAAGACAAAAGTAGCAGCAAATGTATTTCTTAATATTTAGCATTTAAGTCTCTTTCCTAATTATTTAGACCAGAATTGTTGTTCGTATTTTATTTTTATATACTAGGTACAATGTAAAATAATAATAAAAAACAAAAAAATAAAATTACATTTATCGGCCTTCAAGTGTGCACTGAATCAACTTTTTCATTTGTACGAATATAGACATAGTTACTCTTACGGCAAACAGAAAAATCCATTTAAATTCTTGAAAGGTCTTTACAGAGCACTAGTTATGAAACATATGTGTGAGCCAATGCGTAAAGCCATTATGGTGATATGTAACACAATCAACAAAATAGTAATCCAGCTTTTGTCGGTATAATTATAAGGAGTCCATAATTAATTTATATTCAGAGATTTAAGATATACATTTTAGTTCAGCTCTATCGTCGTACGCGCATCTTAACCTCTTAACTATTTTTTTAGGAAATCTAAAAAAAGTGCTTTTCCTCCATTTAAGGATTCTTTAATATGCAAATACATACCAATAGATTTTACATACGAAGTCATATTTAAATATTATGGGCATCGTGTCGACAACCATGTTTCTTTTATTTGTGCACATTACCCTTGCTTTAACTATAAATGTTTCCGACCGCTTACGAGACGTTTTGATACCACTAATATTGACCATTCTGTTGCAAAAGAGTGAAGAAAATTGCAGTGCTTTCAGCCAAAACCCATTTCAGCCATATTCCTTATTAATCATGTCACGTGCCAAGATATTAATTAGCAATTTAACTTTTTAAATATAGGTGTACTTTGGTTTCTGCACTGTTGTTATGCTCATTACCGTTTACGACGAACAGGAGTTTCTCGCTGGCAGCAGAGAGCAGCCATTAGGGGAAAGCATCTTGGCTAAGGGAGAGATAACACCGGGTGAGTAAAATAGCGTAAAAATACAAAATTTTTTATAATTATTAGTACTATATTAGAAATGTGCTTTTGTTGTTTCAGCTATTGTCGTATTTAATATTCTCTTCCTTATTTGTTCCTTCTTCATTGTCATATCATCGCTCTTAACGTTCGTTGGACTAAAACAGGTAAGGGTGAACTGGTTGGAACTTAGATTTTTAAAAATAAACAGCAAAAAAAAAGCGCGAACTAATAAAATACATTTTTTCTTTGCACAGAATCGTCGTCAACTGCTGCTACCCTGGATTATTTTCATGCTTTGCGATGTGCTCATTGAAATTGTTCATTTGGTCTATCTGTCATTTACGCAAATGGTGAACTTCGATCCCGTTGTCGGCTTTATATTCACCATCGACTTTTTTATAATGTGTCTAAATGTGAGTGTTTAAAGAATATAATATTATTTCATTTACACCTATGTTTATGAAATTTATATGTTGCCACATCTTTTTGATACTGAGAAAAAATTCAACCTTTGAACAGTTTTTATATTAACTCTACTTCATTATTTGGAATCGTTGTTTGTTTGTTTCAAAAATACTCAAATTTATTAACAGCGTGGGGAGTTTTATAACGCTTATGCGTTAGCAATTTTTTAATATATGCAAAATCCTCTTTGGTCGAAAATCAAAAGCAGAAATGTTTCACTGTGATAATCTTTATGATCATAGCATCTTAAGGAGGAAAACCTGAAACTGCTTATTCCCAAAATTTCCCGATATTAGACTGTTAGACTAACTAAGCGTTAATCCATCTGTAAAGAAGCTCACTACTATGCTCATTCAGCGGCTTTTTCATACACACATTCTCTTATGGATTGAAAAGGCCACCAAGGCGTCGTTCGATAAAATGGCAGAATAAAAGATATAATCGGAGAATATCTTAAATTTAATTTAAAGGAAATACCACTCTTTTGGTGCACATGCTATCCCATATTTGAGGAACCACTTTTTTATGTAAGAAGTTCATTTTTTGATTTGTTTTACTTCTAGAAAAGTCTGCAATTTCAGATAATCTTCGCAAAAGGAATTAATTTAGAATATAGTTTTTGCTGAACCAGACTTGAATAATTTCAAAATATTACAAATTTTGTATCTTCAGAGCTGCCGATTATGAGTCTATAGAGACACAGCTATGCCTGCTATTTTCAATAACATAACTCCAAAATATGAATAATAAGTAAAATTTCATATAAAAACAACCCCTTTGAAAAATTTAAGTGTTAGAAACCTTTCAACGCTTGGAAAAAGGCAAATTGAACAAGCCTCTGGCATAAGTTAGGTTAGAATCGGTTACTGGATAGACTCGTGAGCCGCACATACAATAGGCTAGTTTTGGGTATTAGCGAAGTAAAATGAAGTGTCGTTACGTTAGGGACCCCAAATGTTTTAAACGTTGTCTCTCCATCGCGGACAAATGCACAGGAGATGCTCTATTGCTTCTCTGTGTATAACTCTTGGCATTTTGTGTGGACATCTGCATTCTCAAGGCACGGTGTAGTATAGTCGCAGTTACATAACAAAATGAAGACGAATAAATCATCTAGTATATATCTACATGTGTCTGTAAAAATATTAGCGAAATTGCTCATTAACTTAACTTACTTACTCAAGTAAATAAAACAAGTAAGGAAGGGCTAAGTTCGGGTGTCACCGAACTTTTTATACTCTCGCATGATAAAGTGATAATCGAGATTTCAGGCGTGGTTGTAAACCGATTTATCCCATATTTGGTACATGTTATCAGGGTGTTAAGAAAATATTATATACCGAATTTCATTGAAATCGGTTGAGTACTTCCTGAGATATGGTTTTTGGTCCATAAGTGGGCGACG